TCTACTTTGCTAGGCGTCATGTCAGAATGATGGCTTTGTTCCATCATTGGAGTGCTGCATCACAACTCAGTGATGTTGTTGATGAATCTTCACCAGGTTGGATTTTGATGTGTGGTTTGTTGTGATGGCACCAGCCCCGTTGTCAGTTTTGGGAGAGCAGCAGGATTGTCTTTCAGAACCTGCTGCTTTTTAAAATATGCAGTGCAAAGAAGGACATGTCACTTAAAAAAATAGATGTTTCTGCTCTGCAATAGGATTCTGTTTATAGTTCACAGACTTGCACAATGGCCAGGGTTGAAAATGGTGTGCCAGCTATGCAGAGGGTAAAAAGGTCTGAAAAATCAATCCCCAAAGAGTAAGAAGGGAAGGGGAGACCAAAGAGAAAGCTATAGGAAAAGAAGAACTGAGCCATTACAAACATTGAATCTATCTCCCCTTGTAAGTATTCTCACACTTCTTATCAAACTGTCTGTACTGAGCTATCTTGATTATCACTTCAAAAGTTTTTTTCTCTTACTTAATTGGCCTCTCAGAGTTGGTAAGACAACTCCCACCTGTTCATGCTCTCTGTATGTGTGTATATATATCTCCTCAATATATGTTCCATTCTATATGCATCCGAAGAAGTGGGCTGTAGCCCACGAAAGCTTATGCTCTAATAAATTTGTTAGTCTCTAAGGTGCCACAAGTACTCCTGTTCTTTTTTTAAATAAGGAACCTGTTTCTAAAGAAGATGGATAGAGAAATCCAGGAAATCAGATGTGGAAGGATAGACAAATCAGGAACACACACATCTGTATCTATATCAGAGTTATTGTGCTTGATTCTCCATTGCCTTTTAACTTGTGTCATTATTGACACCTAGGAAAAGGGAGTGTGAGATACTTCAGAATCAGGATGGGAGCATTTTACAGTCAGTTTAAAGTAACTCTCGCCACAAGTTGCAAGGCAATGGGGAATTGGGACCACTAACAAAGCTTCGCCCTGAAAGCACAAGTCACCACCATAAAACAACCAAAAGTAAGCACAGATCTAAAGAAAATAATGCACAAGAACAACTAAGGAAAAGAAATAGCATTTGATCTAGACCACAATGTTGGTGTGGCTTTTGCTATTGCAAAAGAATTGTCAGGGGTCCAAAGTAAAAGGATCTTCTAAGATGGAAAATATACTTAATTTTTTTAAGTTTATTGTCAGGATTGGTATAATATATATTGATTTTGCTCCGAGGCTGTATAACATCTCTAAATGTTCTGAATTATTTTTAAGTCTTGAGTTTGGACCTCCATAAAAGAACAGCCCTTTTTAGAATTGTGGAAGCCTCATTCTTTGTATTTGAATGTAATATATAGCCATTAAAAACCAAGTTCTCCTGTGTTAAATATTGTGCCAGGACCTCAGCTAATGTAAAGGATATGGCCCATTAACTTTGAAATCTGAGCTGAGATTTAAAAATCTCTAGCTATGAAAATAATATGTAGAGTAGTAACAAGGTAATATTAAATTCAGAATGCTTATCTCAGACTTCAGTGGAAAAAGTTAAATCTGTAAAAAAAAAAAAAAAAAAAAAAATGTTTTAAGTGACTGTTTAAGAGATCACTCCCTCCTTAACCATGATAATAGGACAGATGAAGGATACTCCAGGGGGAAAAAGAAGTAAAATATTCAAACAATCAAATGAAGAACATACAACAGTGTAAAGACAAATGGTAGTGTTTTGGCTTCAGTTATGAAATCGTATGTTTTGCTATCAAGAATTAACACACAATGGGCCAAACTGAAGTCTGAAGTTTTACAGCAGGGTTGAATTTGGCCATCTGTTACTTTCTTATTCATCTACAAAGATTTCACATTAAAGAGCAGGTTTATTTTATGGGACCATGTTCTGCTGCAGCTTGCTATGAGTAACCCTCATTCCTTGTATCCTGTGCGGAAAGAATAGAACCCCTCGGCATTACCACAATGCCATTGTTTGGCTTTCCAATACGACAGGGGAAATGTTTTCAATCCCAAATGAAATCTTTTCATTTACATTAAAAACAATTGAAAACACATGTCTCTTCATCTGGGGCCCAAACCTGAAGTTCTCGCTCAGGACCAGGTTCTCAGCTCCATTTACACCAGCTCAGGATATGGTGTTCAGTTTTCACTCAGTTTCTGTGGAGGATTTACTAAGACAAACTCCCACTGAAGTCAATGGGAGTTTTACCTGAGCAAGATCTGTGTAAATTTCAAGGGGTTAATTCTGCCACTCTTAGTTATCTTGAATAATCTCTTATTTACACAAGTAGTCCCGTGGAGTTCATTGGGACTATCCACAGTGTAAGCTGATGCAGAGAAGGGTATCAGAATAAGGACCGTAGGGTTAGGGCTTAATTCTCCTCTCATTCATACCAGTTTTACACTTGTGTAATTCTATTGAGTTTGATTATGTTGTTCTTGACTTACACTTGTGTAACTGAAAAAAATCAAGCTCAACCCTTAAAAAAAAAAAAAAAAAAAACTTTGAAAAACTGCAGCACACCTTCAGTTTTGAGACCTGGAGGTACTTGTCTGT